TTTAGAGGCATCCGTTGGTAAGGTTGTAGGCAACGATGTAAGAGAAGTATCGGTAGGCAGCGCTGAGGAAATTATCGGTACTTTAGAGGCATCCGTTGGTAAGGTTGTAGGCAATGATGTAAGAGAAGTATCGGTAGGCAGCGCTGAGGAAATTATCGGTACTTTAGAGGCATCCGTTGGTAAGGTTGTAGGCAATGATGTAATAGAAGTATCGGTAGGCAGCGCTGAGGAAATTGTCGGTACTTTAGAGGCATCCGTTGGTAAGGTTGTAGACAATGATGTAATAGAAGCATCGATAGGCAGCGACGAGAGGACCGTTGACACTAAAGAGGAACTTAGGGACGGGGTGGTAGGAAGCACTGAGGTTGGAAGCAAAAGCGTGGGTGTCTCAGGGGCCGTTCCTACGAACAAATTAGCATTCCAGTCTTTGGTCACAGAAAAGAATTTATATATAAAAGAAATCAAGTTCCTACCACTTGAAGAAGCGGTAGAACCGGTAAGACTAGTAGACACCGCAGTAGCAACACTAGATACAATCGCGTCCGGTACCGACGTTACACCCTGAGATGATCCAGAAGCACTCGTAGGAGAGGAGCGAGGAACAGTAGTTGATGCCGCGGTTGCAGTTGTGTCTGCTGTCGTATCCGGCAATTGAACGGAGCTAAGGAGTGACGAGACTGATGCGAATGGGGGGCGGTCCAACTTGGGTGTGGTAGTCGGCGCCGCCGTGTCCGTGGTTCCGGTTGGGCTCAGTGGGACACTAGTATCCGTAGGCGCCGCGATCGGCTTCGAGGTTAAAGAACCTGCATCCGAAGTCGAAGAACCAATAACCGTGGTTGGCGTTGTGACGGCCGAAGTAACAGAATCGATAATCGAGGTTGGCGACGGAATGGCCGAGGTTACGGAAGGAGGAAGCTCAGTGGTTGTCATTGATATTGGAGCTGAGGTTGGCAGATCCTCCACGGTTGTCGTGACCTTAATTACTGAAGTTACAGCATCGGTCGACCCCCTTGAAGCAGTAGGAAATAGAGATGACAGAAAGCCATCAAGGTCCTTGCGATCAGAAGTTGTGGTACGTGCTTCGCCTGTTGACGGCGGAGGGGCGGGTATTGTCGTATTCTCGACCGAACGCTTAACATGCCTGGGGAAGTAGTACCTTGGTGAATTCGGCACAGGGTTATTCACCGGGACTGCATTTGCGTGGCCGATTCCGAAAACTGGACCGAGTGACGAGAGCAGTGGAACCGCAACGGTGAAGACATTTCGAGGGGCCTTCATTTTCGCGACTGTGCACTGCTTTCCTCGAACCAGTTACGCACCACCTTTGTACGCGATCCCCTTCCCTATTCCCGAAAGAAAAAAAAGAAAAAAAAAGTCCGATGTTCTGACTTTAGGTTGTCAGATCCCGCGCACCCAGCTGTGTAGATAGCGTGATATAATGCCTTTTGAAACGAGTGGACTTGACGATGCAAGAAAGAAAGAAAAAAGAGCCTGGTGAAAAGAACGTGGGGCCTATGAAGGAGAATGGAAAAGGAAATGCGTCAGCGGTGGCCACTGCACCCAAGGTATCCAAGGTCAGGGGGAACAAGTGGATGTTATAGAATTGGGTACTTGTAGGGCGGCACAATAGTAAAGGGGTGCACGATGAAACTCACGGAGCAGAACTCCAACCAAAGTCAACAGCAAAAACTCAGGCTGATATCAAGCGTCAAGACAGCCACAAGTTCCGAAAATTATTTCTACGAAACTCTCCAGTTCGATTTATCGACGAAAATAATCGCCGTCGAACAGAATCGCAAATTTGTTTGTTCCGAAAGAACCTGACCACTGCGAATAATCAATGGATTAGCCTTGGCTTCATTGAACTCGAGGGAAGCGTTTCAAAAGTAGCAATGTAACTAAACACACGAGACGCGGCACGAGGGTAGACAAAGAAGCAACCCAAGCACCTGTATCGAGGGGCACACTTCTTACACTCTGTTTAGGACAACACGAACAGCTCGATAATCCAATATTGTCGCTGCAGAGTACCTGTTGCTCGGATATCGCCTCTAGTTTATTGAGGCTCTAGTTGTCGGGGAATTTGCGTTGAGACAGCGTCCTCCTTCCACCAAGCGTCAAAGGGAAGCGCAGCGCAGTAAGCCAGTAGCTAGGAGCGCAGCAGCAGAAGTGACAAAGGAACGGAGGAGGGGGGGGGGGGGCAACGACAAAAGCCTTTCCGCAGAGAACACTTGAAGAGAGTGAGAAGGAAGAAGGAAAAAGCAATAAAAGAGAGTGAGAGGGAGTGAAAGAAGAAAGAGAGAAAGGGAGTGTGAGTGCAGGTTAATTTTGCTGCAGACGAGTACGACTGGGCGCCAAAACGAGTGTGATGAGCTTTGTGTCTGGCAGCGGAGGAGGGGAGGGGGCTGGAGGTTCGGGACGCTGGTCAGTGACTATTCTACTCTACCGCCGTAATACCATACGATTTATCTGGGAGGCAGGGTAAGAGTTGCTTTGCTAGGATGAACGAACCATACGGGGGGGGAACCCGCACACAAACACGGAGGAATAGCGAGCAATTCAAATGTCGGTCGAGACAAACTACTAATCCCACTACTAGCAAGTAAGAGAGAGGGAGGGCTAGGGGAAGAAAAGGGTAGAAAATGAAAGAAAGGGGAAGGGAAAAAAAAAAGGAGTAGAAAACAAGCTGCACCGGTAGCGAGCCGGGAAAATGGTGATAAGGGAAAAAGTACGGGATCGCTCGAATGCAACCCTCGGAAAGGGGGTCAAAAATAAAGATTAGGGAGGAGGAGGAAATGGGAAGAATAACTTACAGAATGCACACCGACGGCACAAAGAAGAAGGAGCAAACGAAGGTTGGTGATGCGCCCGATGATGGTTACGACGATGGCGATGGTGGGGGGGGAGGTAAAGGCGGGAGAAAGACCTCAATGTGGAACGGGATACAGTAGTAACAAGACACTTGAAGCAGAAGACTTTTCAGTGGGAAGTTGGAGAAAGCAGCTAAAAGGCACCGCAAACGCCAGTGCCAGCGCCAGCAACAGATGGCGGACGGCACCAAAAATGATACGTACTGTACTGGTGCTAGTACTCGTACTGTACGGTACCGCTACTCCTCCAAGGGAAATCGAGAAGGAAAAAGGAAAAATGGAAAAAAAGTCAAACCCCAAAGAGAGAGTGAGAGGGAGAGGGAGAGAGAGGGAGGGAGAGAAAGAAAACGGGCAGACAGACCAGGTCCACACGGCTCGTTAGACAGACCAGACGTTTTTAGATGTCTCGGTATCCCGCCTCGAGCGGCTAACCAGATGGGAATCGGCAAATGGCTATGGATCTCTTGGATGTTCTCTTCTCAGGAACGAACGATAGGACGACGGCCGTGCAAACGGACTCAGACCAGCACCATTCAAACTCGCATCCATTCGTTCATTTACCACAGCACCGGTCCGCCAGAAAAAAATATCCCTTCGCCTTTTCCTTGGATCCTCGAACATCCAGTCCCATTCCTCCCATCAGGGCCGCGGAGGGTAAGCTGGAACTCTGTGCTTCCCCAAATTGGTGAAAGAGGCATTGAGGGTTTCCACTTTGGGGGGGATTTTGTTTCGAAATTACACCAACTGCGACAGGGGTGGTGGGAGGGGAGTCAATGACCAGTCTCTTGGCCCTGATGTCCCAGAGAGCGAGGGGGGGGAAGGGAATAGATTGGCCGCTGGGATTCCGCACGCACATTGGGATAGGTTCCACCGTCTCTCCCGGCTCATCTCCGTAGCCACACCGCTGCTCCACAGCCCACCGCCCGTTCTTTTCGCCTGCAAAGAGCCATTTTTTACAAATTGCCATCTCCCTGGCGCGATCACTTGTAATCGTGCGAGTCAGCATCAGTAGCGAGACTGGGCGGAGCGAGAGGCCGAACTTGGAATGTTCAATGGAGCAAGTTCTGGTATACCGGTATCATACATTCCTCATTGCTCCCGATACTCGATCGTCCAACAATTTATCACTGCCGGTAGCCATCTGATAGGCCCAGCTCTCTCCCACGCGGTGATGCGAGGCATGCATACCACGCTACTAATAAGAGAGAAGAGAAGGCTCTCATCCGGTGAATGTCAACAGCAACAGCAACAATAATACCAATAACGATAATAAAAAGTCATACCAGCTCGACAAACAGTCTGACCAGAAATGCTCCCGAATCTCAGTAAACTACCGATAGAGCATGAGTTGACAACAGCCCGCAAATTAAGCATCGCAAACCTCCCTCTTCCTCTCTCTCCTGCAGCCTGCAGCGCGGAATCGTAACCCACATACGGCACGAGTACATGTAGGAGTACATGTACGAGTACTCGAGCACTTGGTACTAGTGCTGGTACTCGTACATGCGTGATAAACCCCCAATAACACGCCAATTGATGGCCGAGCACAACTAATCGCAAAACTCTAAACAGAAAGCGACCGTACTATAATAGTACAAAGTATCACACCAAAAAAGCCAAGACTAGCCGCATCCCAATCTCAGGGCCCCCGGTTCCTGAACCATTCCCTCATCCGTCCACCCACCCTCCTTCCCTCCTTCCCCCTTGGCATCCACACCCACATCCGCCATGTGCTCCTTCTTCCCCTCCATGCCCTAACTTTGCTTTGATACTATATTTGTAACCTAAAAGGTGGGTCTAACCTCTTTCCCCCATCCCCCCCATCATTTGCTGCACGAGTACGGTACCCTACTGTACCGGACCGTCCGCCCCCACCAGCACACCAAAAAATGCCTTCCCACCCTCTTCTCCATATGAGCCCTTTGCTCACTCGCTCGGACACGCTTGCATGACACGATGGCCGGCAACATCCGTACCGTATCCAGGTCCACGTTACACGCACAGCACTACGATAGTTCAACAACAATACAAGTACAACAATGAAAGAAGGAAAACGAACAAAAAAAAAACAATACTATTCGTGCTGTCCGGTACTCGTAAGTTGCGGGGCCAGGCAAGCGAAGCGGGAAGAACGCAACGCAGCGCACGAATCGTCACGTCCAGGTGAGAAAGCGAAGTCGAGCGAAGCGTGAACCCACCATACCAAGGCGAGCCAGCCCTATGTACTCGAGTACAATATGACATGGCACGGCACGATTACCAGTATTGGGCGGCGGAGCGGGGAGATAGAGGGAGAGAAAGAGGCGGAGGGGATCCTTTTGACACTCGGGAGGGATGGGAATGGGTATCTGCACCGGTGAATATTAGAGAGCGAGCGACGTGCAAATGCTAAGCTACCGGTACCGTATCACACTCGTAGACTTCGAGAAGGAATCGCTACGGTCTTTGAGTTTGCTTGCTCGCTGGGTCAGTTGCACTACGGACACAGTTTGACAGCCGAGCCAGCGAGTGCCGTATGGTCCCGATACTCCGACCACGGTACCGGAAGCTCGTGTGCTTGGTGAGGTTCGCAACCAAGTTTTTGGGCGTTGGGTGAGTGGGTCTTCGTGGGGGGAGCGACTCTCTCTCCTTTTTTCCCTTTTTCTTTTCTTATTTTGAGTGGACCTTTTTCCGTTGGTCCGTACGGTACTCGAGCACTCGAGTGCTGCAAGATACGGTACCCGAGTAAATACAGTACTAGTGCCAGTTTGTCAAGAAACGGTAACAAGATACGATATCATACCGGTAATCGCTCGGTCTGTCCGGGGGCCACAGGTAAGACTCCCGTCGCCGAAAAGTTACCGTATGATACTCGAGTACACAGCCCACATTTCAACGGTGCTTTCCTTCCTCCCTTCCCACACATCCGAAAAGCTGTCCATTTTCCCCGAACCTACTCGTAATTCCCATCCATCCAAGCAAGCAAGGCCTCCCCTCACCATAGCACCAGATAAATAGATAACCACAGGCCAGGCCACATCCACCCTACTGCACAGTACCTAGCGGTATCCACTCCTCCCCCTAAGGCCAATTTAATGCCAGCGACTCCCTGGCCCAAGACTGGGCGCCGGCAAAGGGGGGGCGGAACCAAGAAACCATCATCTCCCTTCCCTCCATGGAACCAGGAAAGCCCGCCAATAGGGTTTGTCCCTCTCTCGGTTGTGCCAAGGATCCTTATTGCAGTATTACTCCAATCTCCCCATCCCCACATGCCTTTTTACCCCTTGCTGGCGAGGTGTGTGGGTGGGTGGGTGGACGAGTTTCCGAGCCCTGGTTGCCCGTACCACAATAATAATAATATTATTATGATTTTATAATGTTCGTACAAGCACTGCAGTTATTGCCAAGAGGGTCTTGATGAGGGCTCATTTAACTTGCCCTACCGGTTACCTCTCTTCGTAAAAATCGGATTCGCATTCCCGTATCATACGGTAGGAGACCCTGCCCAATTGCCTTTTGCTGATTGCTTCAATGTGTGGCGTTTTGGGTGGCTCTGCGCCCTCCCGTTGGCTCGCTTGCGCTTACTTGTATGCACCGTAGCTCCAATCCGGGTTTCTCAGGAATAGATACACGTGTACCCGAGTACAATTGCACTACTACCGGTGCAGGCACGGTATTGGCTACAATCTAACCGCTCCATGATACTTTACGGGCGCGAATAATACCCGATTGACGAATGGATACAAGTGCTCGTACATGAAGCTAAATCAAGCGAGCAATCCATTTCTCTCTCCCCCGCGGATCAAATTTCGAAGGGAAGGAAGGAGGAATCGAGTGCGCTGGCATGTTCGACCATACACCGGACAGTACCGGGGGTAAATGCGACATGGTCGTTTGATGAGTGTTACTGTGCTGGCTGTGCTGCGCTCCGCCGGACCGGACTGAACTGGACCGAACCGGGGTTTAACTTACCCCGGGGTACCGGTACTTGTACTCGTACAGTACTGTACGCAGAGCATCGCTAATTTATTTACGATTCGAGTACTGTACCCCGTTTCGTCAATCTATTGTTTATTTATGATATCCGTTCGTTTGTTTGTTTTCTCAGCGCACCCGCCGCATTCCAACCTCGATTCTCCTTCTCCCTTTTCCCTGCACTGTACTTGTACTAGCTTTCGTTAGCTCGAAAACTGCCGTCCAAATACCGGTAAATTTATCATAGGCGTTCAGGAGTTGACTAGTTCGCCAGCAACATTGAAATACCCGGGCACAGTGCCATATTTTCTTTCTTTCTTTCTTTCTCTCTCTCCTTCTTTTTCCGCCCTACAGTACGGAGTACCGTATAATGTCTTTATCCCATACCTGAAAAAATCGAAAAAATCACCCCCACCACACCCCCCCCCCCGAGGATAGGGCTAGTCTCCAGGGGTTTGAGAGTTTCAAGCTACGGTATGACACCGTGGTAGACTAAACGCTAAACGACGAAAATGTTCAAAGGTTGCGACGCGGGGATGAGGGGCTAGACCACCGGTATTGGGAATCGGGCACCGGTAACTGGGGTATTCGGAATGTAGGAAGGAATGAAGGGGATAAAAAGTGCCATGATATGTACTGTAGAAGTTTAATTCTCTACATTTCGTGCGGCTTCCTCCTCGTCCGATGTGTTTGTGAAAACATGTCTCGGATTACTAAGCAGCCTTACCAGGTCCCCCGTGGGATACCGGTAAAGCAAGCTCGTATCCATTAAAATTGATCATAATTACAAATAATTTCGAGACCCCGTAATTGTATGGCGGGTTAATTGGCTATTTCACTTCGGAGGAGAATTGGAGGGCGAGTTTGCTCGATTTGTGGTGGTTAATCAAATCCAAGTATTAAAATGAAAGCCTTTTCTGTTGTGCTAGTACTACCGTAGTAGTAGTAAAAAGGTGGTAAACTCTAAAGAGTATCTACTGGAAGCAGATGGGTATTTCTGGTGTGTGGTGTGCCGGTATCGGTTAGTACTGTATTATTTCGTTTTAGTCTGTATCTCTGTCATTTAACTTGAATCTGCAATCTTTCTTCTGCTCTGCAATTTGCTTGAGCGACTGCTATCTAATAAGTAGGCTCTATCTTGTATATAAGTTTAAGGACTCGGACCTGCTTGGCGTGTCAAAAATACTGTAGTATTCCTACTTTTGTGTGCCATATTTCTTGCTGCGTTTTTGTTGTTAGTCTAGGCTCACATCTGACAGTCACTCTATCATATATATATTTTTAATAGCATGATAGTGCTATTTTTTTTATAGAATGTCTAAAAATGTAAGACACTTTTTTCAACTTATATGTTACAAATTTTAATAACTTGAACTCTACCGATTGGGTAAGATTTAGAAGCTAGAAGGAAAGGAAGAAAAAAAAAACTGAATTATAAGTTAGTAGGGATTCCCGAAACATATACATTTCCAAGTTCACACAAAAATCTACGATTAATACAGGACTACGAGAGTGACAAGCCTTGAGAGGACCCCAGCACCACTCCTGAATCAACTCCTCCAATTACTGTAACCAACATGGCCAGGAAGACAAGAGACCATTACTGTACTGTACTTGTACTAGTACCCGTACAGGACTAACAAGCTCACAGCCTGAGGTTCACGTTTGTAACTCCCTACAGAACCCACCCATGGAAAACTGACACTTTAAACGGCGTCTCGGATCACGAACGCTCCTGCCGAGGGACTCTGCAGTATATAAAAAAAAATTTATAAATTTTTTTTTCTCTTAAATTACTGCGCCGTAACGACACTATTCGGGTTCTGTCCGAGCACCACTGTAACTAGTACGATCTACTCGTGCTGCGCTGCTCGCAAACGCGGAGATTAAAAGAAATATACGCAAGTACTGTACATACCCTACCAACTCGCCTCGCGGCACAGCTATCATAGCAAAAGAGAAGGGGGAGGGAGGGGGAAAAAAAGAAAAAAAAAATCGGAAAATCGGAGAATCGGGAAATGTGCATCATTACCGATAAATTAATTTCAGGGTAGATTCCAGGGTTTTTTCCGATTGGATTGGAAAGAAGTACAGTAGTTTCTGTGGCTCGGGCCAATTGAGTAACCGTGCTTCCTGACCTTCCCCTTCTTTTCCTCCCTCCGGTCCCTTTCTTCTTCCTAATTACCAGGTACAGTACCGGTATGGGTCAAATCATTTATTTATTTATTATACGTGTGGCCGCTGGCTTAGATTCCAACTCGAACGGTTTTTGGATTTTGGATTTTTCCTCGCTCGCTTGTTTGTCCATGGTACGGTACCCGGACATGATGCTGTATGAGTATGATATGATACAGTACAAAGTAAAGTGTCCCTTCACATGGTATGATATCCAATGTCCCGTCCCCCTTAGTCTACCGTAAACTGCGAGTACGGACGGTATGGTGGGCTGGATACTCCTTGCACTACACTACGGTAGCATCACCTTATCCGAAACTTAATCCTCGTATGTGTGTTCCCTGGCACAGTCCTGGCAGCTTACTGTGCTAGTCCTGTGCTAGTACTCATGCTTATCAATTGGGAGAGGTACATACAGACCCGTACGGTACCGCATTTTCTGGTTAAACCCGAAATCACACAAAGTATGAAATAGGATGGTGAGGCTGTCACTAAGCATGTGGCAACTTAAGTGAATATAAAATTTTGATCCAAATACTAGTAATTGTATTCGTGCTTGCCGAGTTCTGTAATTTTATTGATGCTTCTTTCTTATATTACAAAATCTTTTAGCTTTCAATCTCTATTTCTATTTATCTCCTGTTATTCAAATTGGAATTTTTCCTATAGTCATGTCTGTTCTCTCTTCAGTTCTTCCTCCTATTCCCCCACCAGTTGCCTTCCTATTTCACCTCCAGTTCCTTTCCCAATTCCCTTACTGATTCCTCTTCCAATTCTGTCTTCAACTCCCTCTCCCATTTCTTCTAGAATTCTCTCTCCAATTCTCTCACATTCTCTCTTCAATTCCCCCTCCAATTCCCTCTCCTAACCTCCTCCTGACTCTTCTCCGATCCTTTCCACTCCAATCCTTTTTCCCTCCTGTCCCCCATCCTGTTTCTCCTTCCGTCTCCCATTCTGTCCCTCCTTCCATCCCCCCTCCTATTGTCTCTTCTGTCCCTTTTCTTTCTTGTAGTTCTTAGTACATTTTCTCTCTTTTTTTGCACATTCTTTAGTAGAGAATTTTTTTTTTTTTTTACTATTCTGACATGGACTAGCTCTCCTATATTTTCTCAATTGTTATCATCTTGTTTGGTCCAAATTGGTTGAGAATTGATTGTGTTGTCCAATGCATGCCAGTGGATACTACGAGTGCGGCCGATAAATATATTCGTCACGTGCCTTATCTAAGGACACATCGCAGCCAAAAGGTGCACCGAAATTTTCTTATCAGACTCACGTGACGAATATATCTATCGGCCACACTCGTAATGCAAGCCCGCTCGTGTTCACAAACGTCACGACGACATTACTCGTAAAAGGCTGCCCTCCTGCCCTTCCTCCCATGCCTCTCCAGAACAAACCTCCATCAACTCTACTTGGAAGCGTTTCTCTCTTTCTCAGCTCTCTTGTCGTCCACCAGCAATCCCGTCTCTGCTCTCCACTTCGTTAACACAAACATTCACAAGCAAGCTCTTTTCTTGTTTTTTTTCTTTTCAATCTCCACTTCATTATCACAAACATTCACAAGCAAGCCCTTTTCTGCTTCTTTTTTATTCTTTTTTTTTTTTGTTAATCTGTCCCCGTTACCAAGCCCTTTTCTGTTTTGGTTTTTTTTCTTTTGTTGATCTGTCCTCATTACTGACCATTCCTTCCCAGTGACTCTTAACCTCTTCAACCTTGACAATGAGTTCTTCGAGTGGTGCCTAAGACTCCCTGCTGGATTTGAAAACCAGGTGCCCACCCCACCAACCCCAACCCCGGACCCACCGACCCCAGTCCCACCGACTGCCCCCACATTCAACGAGGTAAATGGGCTCAATGAGGGGAGTGTCATTGCTCACTCGTCCCATCTTATGAACCGTTACCCCGCCGCATACAAAGACTTCTTCGGCACATTCAGCGGGGCTCCCTGCATCTACAAGTCAGGTCCTGCTTGGCCGGAAAACCAGGGTCCCCAAGCACAGCGCTACATCCGTGAGCTCCGCCCTGTGTATGATCATCCCATCGCAGACGACTGGCTCAAGATTGGTACCGACATCTTCCAGGCCCTCGATACTCTCGACGTCAAGTGGACCTCGATCGATCCCATTGCCTTTGCTGACGCTGGGGAGAAGGCGCCGCTTTGCCCGCTCCTGATGTGGATCGGTGTGAAGCACGAGACACTTGCCTTTGAGGCTGCCGTGACTGCCGCCGATGCTGTCAAGGACATCCTGCGCTAAGCTGGCTTCCCTGAGATTGAGGTCGCTTTCCGCGAGTCGGAGGTGATGCGCTCTGTGGGTGGCCCAAAGCTCCTTCCTATGGATCCCCTCCGAGACCCCCCATCTTCGAGTTCCGTAAGGCCTTCACACCCACGCTTGGACTATCCATCGCCCCGCTCAGGACGCCCTACTATGAGGGCACCGGCGCACTCTACTTCCGCCTCGGCCGTGATGACGACCGCATCGCCCTCCTCACCACTGCCCACGTTGCTCGCCCGCCTCCCCTGTTTGCCAATACAGGCATGTCGCCCAAGGGTAGCAGTCAGCCCCGCGAGGAGATCGTCGCGCTAGGCACCATGGGCTACCAGAATGCGACAAACGCCATGATGGCTACTATCGGCGACCTTGCTCGCTCCATCGCCGTGTGGAAGGGGCAGGTCAAGTGGCTGGGTGAGCCCGTCGACGGCGCGGATGTGGCCAACACCGCAAGGCAACCGGAGACCCAGCGCGAGGTGGAGAAAGCAACCAGGAGGATCCACTCCTTGAACAAGCTCCACGACGAGGTTACCAAGCTCAGGACCAACCCGGACCAGCGCGTTATTGGCTGTGTCCTTCACGCGGAGCCCATCGCGATCTCCCACGAACCCCACAGGTTTACCAGTGACTGGGCCTTTGTCCAGCTCTACAAGGAGAAGATAGACTGGGCCACCTTCCCGGGAAACAAGGTCTACGTTGGTACGTTTCTTCCCCACCCCCCTCGGTCCCGCCGTTTCAGTTTTTCCGTTTCTTTTTTGGCTGAGTAGTGTGATCCCGCAGGTGGCAAGCTTTCACCGCCCGACTTCGGCGGGTTCATGTTCCCACACCCCGAGGACCAGGTGGACTACGAGTACCCAGATGATGGCCTCTTACAGGCCTTCGGCGTCGTCAAGGACCATGAGATTCGTCAGCCACAGCACCTCCATGTGCACGACCAGAAGGTACTAATGGTGGTGAAGAACGGTTTGACCACGGGGACTACCATCGGCCGGGTCAATGGACTGGACTCGTTCACTCGCGTCTAGAGTCAAGACGGCATCATGGGCACGTCCGTCGAGACCGCCATCTTGCCCTACGACCGGCAGCGCGGCCCCTTCTCCGCCCCGGGAGATTCGGGCTCCATCATCCTTGACAGATCTGGCCGCATTGTCGCCTTGCTCACAGGCGGCGCGGGTACTACCCCCAAGACTGACATAACCTACGGGACCCCGTACTGGTGGCTCGAGGAGCAGGTCAAGAGGGTCTTCCCCGGCTGCTTCCTATATGAGGCTGTTGGCTAGGCTCCTGCAAAAAAAAAATTCCTTTCCCCCCGCACATATGACGCACGGCAGCCAAAACTAACCTACTATGTAGTTTTCTTGCAAAATCTGTATATACTGAATAAACGTACTTCCCTGGGAAACCACCCATCCCCGTGAAACTACCCAAAAGCTATCCAAGCACAGATGCTACCCATACATAAAGGTTATAACTGAACAGGTTAGTATTTATACTGATCACCTCCTTGGCCTTACAAAGGAAGGAGAGGTGTATGCGTGGGACAATTGTCAGCAACCCAAGACCGAGAGAACTAGGTCATCCTCCAAGAGCTTGGCCAACATGTCTCCACCCCGGTCACACTAGGAGGCTTGTGTGATGGTCTCCGGCAGATATGAGAACAGGGATGTATCCTACATGACCCTGGACGACAGTGGGAACCAGAATCACAGCTCTTTCCTCGCCCGAACGCCGTGGTTCGCATATCCCACATTGGCCATACTGAAGTCCCATGCTCAAACCCTGCCGGCTTGGTTAATTGTGAAAGGTGTATCAGGAGGTAACAACGTATGGTTCTGGAAGACTAGCCTCTACTCCGTAAACCAGTTTTGACCAAAAACAGGCAACAATTTTTAGTGTAACACGGGGCATGGCGCTACCAAGGCTTTCTGGACTCGGGTAGGGATGAAAGAATCGGAAAAAATGATCCGCAGGATCCTGCAGTGAACTAGGCCAATAGTGAGGAAGTTTGGAAGGAAAAGGGGCTTGGCAGACGTCACAAAGCCGGATGATGGTATTTGAAGAAGGCACATTACAGTCTAAATTTGCTGCACCAGCACCGACAGTCCTGGCCACCGGCTGAGCTCCGAAGAGGCATACAAGCAGCAAGTGACTAGCTACCCAGTACTGTAATCACTGGGAGCAACAATAGGAGTTCAAGATGTCCCACAATGCAGGTTTAAGACGTCCCACAACCTGATCGCTTTTCACGCGTTGTCAAATCGATCACCCCCCATTCCCTGTTTTGCTGCCATAAGTTTTCTATTTATTTCATCCCTACCCGAGTACAGTACAGGCACCTACGTTTTAGAACTTAAACCCCTATTAACTTCATAGATTTTCTGTGTTATATATAATAATAATATTATTATATAATAATATAGTATTATCGGCCTATTTTTTTTATATACAAGTGGAACGCAAAAAGTGAGTGGGCAAGAGCAATTTACCGCAAAAATAGCAGATTTCACACTAAGATATTACACCAGAGAAAATTCACAAAAATACTCTCTCTCCATAGAACCACCGAAAACAGTAGGAACATCATTTTCTATACACAAATATTTGCTCAATTCCCAACTTCTCAATAGTGGTATGCTGTTGAACTTTGAAATTCCGCCAAGATACAGTTTTACCACCAAAAACCACAGTCTTGGCGTGATTTTGAGCAACGTTTTGTTTCATAT